AGGTATCACCCTGGGTCAGCACACACGAATCACATGATTAGTTCATTACCAGGAGAACTTCAGGACATGTTGAGGAGGTCCTTTAGCCATTTAAATCAGCGGACACCTCAAAAACCTGCAGGACACCGGCTCCTGAGGCCTGGAGTTCCCCCACCACTACACTGAAGCCGCCATCAGGAAAGCAAACAAACTCCAGTCGTCTGTGTGTGTGTGTGTGTGTGTGTGTGTGCGTTGGCATGTCTCTTGAAGTTGTTTAACAGTTACGTTTTGACAGATCATGTGACGGATGAGGGCTCATTAGACAGTGACTGGTTTCAACCTGCATCCGCTGACCGTCTGTCACAGTCTGTTAGCCAAGAACATGAACTCCTTTACATCTGAAGAGGAGAGAGAGAGAGAGAGGGAGAGGGGGAGAGAGAGAGAATGGAAAAAAGCAGCAGGAGGGATGAAAAAAAGAAAACCAATAAGTGAAGAACAAAAATCGATGGGAAGGAAAACACAGAGAAAAAGAGAAAGCGCTGGGTGGTGCGTGGGGAAGGTTGTTCTACGTCTTCTCATGAATAATGCAGGTTAGTGCTTTCCTCCATATGTTCTTATGCTGCATTGTCACACTACTAAGGAGGTTGGAGCTAAAACCACAGCTCAAATGGTAAATATTAATGCAGGACAGCTATATATAACCTTAAAATCCTATACAAGATGATGACACGCCTTAAAATAAAGGTGAAAGGCGATTTATGCAAACACCTCTGCCATGTACGATGGGGATACTATTAGCAAGGGTCTACAGAGACGAGAGTGAAAGAGCGACCCTGCGCGGGAAGAAATAAACCTGGAAAAGATTTTAAAAAGCACATGTATAAATCACAAACTGCTGGAGTTTTCAACGAGCCTACATGACTGTCCCGTAAGAGCATTAAAAAAACATCTGATAGCAAAATACAAAAATAGAAGAGCAGACATAGCTAAAATTAAACACAGTCAGCATGCGGCTGTCAACAAGCTGTCTCGATGTATTAGAGATCCAAATAGAAATTAGCTTTTTATCCTCACGTTTGCAAGTCTAATGGAACAATAAATCCCCCCGAGTGGGATTGGAGTCTTCGAGTAAAGCCGACTTGATTTTCTCCTAAACGCTGCAGAAACAGCTTTACTTCTGCTGCCATCAGGTCGTCTCTGTACACACAGAGGTTCAGTGCTAATTGTCAGTATGTTCATGCACTGCAGACACAGAAATACTCCGATCCTCTGTGCTACAAAACACAAGACAAGTTCAACTTGTGAAAATGTCAGTATTAGTAAAACCTGCGTTTATCCTGTGCTGTTGTAGTTATACTGAAACTAAACTGAAAAGTCTTGAAAAAAGAATTTAGCTCACTAACATACAAATATTACACTTTGAATAAACAGTATTGTGCAATAACAAAACTAACTGAAAAACAAACAAATCAATCTGCTCCTCTATCAATTTAAACTCCTACGTTGCCTCGGTCTCGCTCACATTCACTCATTTCCACTGCTTGTATCCACTCTGATTCATTTGGTCACCACCTGCTGCTCGTGGTCATACAGGTATAATGTATAATTAAGGCAGCTCTCCACCTTTAAACTGGCTGATGATAACAAACACATTTAAAACAATGCAAACCACAAAGAGCAAAACCCCTCTAGAAACTAACTGG